AAAGATAAGGAGTACATAGCTTTTCAGAGATGTTCATTCCTCCAGACATTGTCAAGTCAAAATGACAGCACAGAGCTCATTCTTCCTCTATGTTAGAAAGAGCATTTATTTGTTAACGGGGAGAAAGACTTTTCTTTCTACAAAAGAATTTACCTTTCTCTGCACTTTTCACGGAGCTTTCTGAAAAAATGGCTAAGTCACAACCCCAGGAACCAACCAGACAGACTGGATCCTAAACCACGCACCTCTGAAATAAATTCTTCCTCAAGGCGCCGGTAGAGGGCGCTGGAGGGGTACCGCAGTTCTTGGCTGTATTCTTTCCCCAGTAGTCGGATGCTGAATTCTGCCACCTGTTCAGCTGCTGGTTTTGTGGGCTCCTCTGACACATTCTCAATTTCATTGCTGATCTGGATTTAGAAAAGAATAACATGTACTCACACCATCAACAAATATTTACTGATTTCCCACAAAATTCCAGGCACTGCACCAAAGGCAATGTGTGATGATAACGTTTCATGTAATATTTTATTTTAGAACAAACCGGATAGGCTTTAGGACATAAGCATTAAAATGACAGTACATTTGTATATTCCTTTCAACACATAGTGAAAGGGAAGGCAGAAATTTTTCCATAGAAAACTATCAAGGTGAATAAGAGTTGACTCAGTAGTTAAGAGCACTAACTGCTCTTGCAGAGAACCTGGGTTCAGTTCCCAGCACCCGCATGGTAGCTAACAACTGCCTGTAACTCAAGTTGCAGGGGATCCGACGCCTTCTTCCGATCTCCGTGGGCATTTTATGACATGGGTGCACTTACATACATGCAGGCAATACACATACACATAAAATCAAATTTTTAAAATAATAAAATTTTTTTAAAAGCATAACAAAGCCAACTGTATGCACAAAGTATGTATTCTGTGAAACTGAAAATAGTGGAAAGAGTGACATTGCTAATATTTTTGCAAATTCTTGAATATCTGGCTTAATACATGACAGCTGAATTCTCATATTTATTTCTGTATCTAATTAATCACAATATGCTATTTTATTAGAAGCTACAAGAAGACAATCTGGCCACACAAATATGTATCAAAGAAGGAAGGACTACAGTAATAATCCTTCAGTTTGATGTATTCTTTTATGATATTACACCAGCTTAAAAAGTGGTAATTTCTTAAAGCTTAGTTGTTATGTGGTCAAAAACACAACAAAAATTTTTGTAGCACTCTATAGCATTCAAAGCTAGATCTTGGCTGGGGGCACTTGCCTAGCATGCTCAAGACCCTGGGTTCAATCTCAGAACCCATGTCCCTCCCCAAAAAGATCAAGAAACTGGCATGATGATTCACATCTATATTCCCATAGTCAGCAGGTTGAGGCAGAAGTTCAAGGTCAGTATGGGCTACATAGTGCATTCCAGTCCAGCATAAGCTACAAAGCGAAACTCTGAGACACTGTCTCAAAAAGAAAGAAAGGAAGGAGAAAAGAAAGAAAGCAAGAGAGAGGGAGGGAGGGACAGAGAGAGGGGGGTAAGGAAGGAGAGGGAAGGAGAGAATTGGAAAACAAAGGAAAGGAAAAAGAAAAGAAAAAAATTGAAGGTCTGGGGCTGGAGAGATGACTCAGCAGTTAAGAGTACTAGCTGCTCTTGCAGAGGACCCAAGTTTGGTTCCCAGCACCCACATGGCAGCTAACAACTGTCTGTAACTCCAGTTTTAGGGAATCCAATGCCTTTTTCTGACCTCCTCAGGCACTGCATGACACGTGTGCACTTAAATACATATAGGCAATACATTCTACATATAAAATAAAAATAATAAAAAATTTTCAAGTACATGTAGCTGGGCATGGTGGCTCACTCCTTTAATCCCAGCACTCTAGAGGCAGAGGCAGGTGGGTCTCTGTAAGTTCCAGGCCAGTTGGAACTTCAGGGAGACCCTGTCTCAAAATACACACACACATGCGCGCGCGCGCACACAGGACTATCCTCCAAGGCAGATAGATGCCATTTTCTTGAGCTCAGCTGTGTCTGCTTGCTGCACTTGTTGACTGTTCATGTGCCAGCATAGAATGAGAGGCTCACCTCCCCTAAAGTCTAGCTCTCATAGCTTTGGAGAGTGGTATGAAGTTGTCCAGGGAAAACATCAATCGATGGTCCAACACCAGCTTCAAGACCAAATAATCACATCAATGGCAAGCACAGCATATGTCATTGGTACAGTAGTGGCACTTTTATCTTGGGGGCAATCGACAGCTACCTAATTGGACTAAAAACCCACTCAATGAGAGGAAACTCACGTGTGGTACTGTAAACATAACCAAATACACATGGTTGGAGAGGTCATAGATCTTAGGGAAAAACTCCAAGACTGTCACTTCTCTAGACTAATATAATTTCTTACTATGTGCAAAATATGCATCCTTACATTTACAGAAAAATATCCCAGTCACCACTCATCAAAGAAGCTCATTTTGCACCAGAGACTATTAGCAAGTACCACAACTAGTCACACACGGACATTGTTTATGAATTGCCCAGGCCTAAGTGACACACCTATAATGCAACCTCTACATCTAGGTCTCGTGGAACATAGAAGAGGGGTAAAGAAAGGGACACTAATGAATCTCTCAGTTCTCATTAATGAAGCTCCCTCATGCAGCCGGGGCAGGAACATAAAAAAGGTCATAAATGGCCAAAGCGTAGAGATCAAGAGTCTACTGAATGCTAGTCCTGAGACAGGACTCCTTTATTAAACTTCAACTACCCAAGGCTCGGGGACCAGTAAGGAAGAAGGGGTGGAAAGATTGTATGAGCCAGGGAGGAGGTGCATGACCATTCGGAAACAGAGTCCTGCCATCTCCTGGGATCCTGCTCATAAGATTCTATGGCAATGGTGTCAGCATATACAAGCCTCATGCAAGCTCAGGCAGACAAAAACCCAGCATAGAACTGAGAAAATGAACAGCAGACCCCAGTCTTATCTGAAGAGATATTTGTAACTGCTTGCTGCTAAGTGAAGAAGAGCTGATCTTCCTAAAACAAGGGAATCTAGAAATAGGCTGACTAGACCTCAGTGGATGGACTTGCCCTGGGGAACATTTGAGGACACTGACTTGACACAGTGGGCCTTAACAGGGATGACAGAATGTATAGGTTCCAGTGGGGGGTGCCGATGGTGACGACGGTACAAAGATGATTAAGATTGATTGAGATATTCTGTATGAAATACATGAAAAGTCAATAAAAAAAAATTTTTTTTAAAAGGGTAACTTAAAAAAAGAGGAGTTCAGTGAGTCATGGGATCCTTACTTGCACATCCAGACACACCTCCCAACCCTTGATGAGCAATTCTGCCTTAATTGAACATGGCCTAGCAGCAGAGCTAGAATAAATAGGTTGGTGAAGACTAAGAGAGGGTCACCATTTATGTGGCTATAGGAAAGCCATCCTCCTTGTGGGTGAAAACTTTCTAGTCCAGCCTTAACGGGGCACACCCATGCTCCTATAAATAACTCCTCACACATTGCTCTGTAAGTCAGTCCAATAAACTCAAAGGTTCCCCTGGATGAACACTGGTGGAACTGTACCTCAGTTTGTCGTTAGGCCCTTGGAAAGAGGGGTAGACCTTGTTTACATCACTCCCTCCACAAGAAATTTTAGCAATAGCAGAACAAATGAATAGATAGTTTTTGAAAAAAATATACAACCGTTGACAGAATATGTGAAAAAATTCACAGTATCACTAATTATCAAGGAAAAGCAAATTGAAACTGTCATCTCTGGGTGAAGAGGGAAATTCTAATGCATTGTTAGTGGGACTATAAGTTAGTACAGCCATTTTGGAAAACAGTACAGAAGTTCTTCAAAACACTGAGCAATGCTACACTGCACATGGATCTCTGGGAGGTTTCTGTTTCTTTGCTACTTCACTTTCCTACTGACTATGAATTGACTCCAATGCTCTTATTACACACGATTCCTTCATTTCTAGTACAGCAAACTCTCATGTTATAAATGTTTCTGGATCTAAATCATAGCTATCCTGCCTCAAGTTCAGAACTACAATATCATTTTTATTATTCTTTTATTCACAAATAGGTATTAAGTTATATTTTCTAGCATCATCTCTTTTGGACATAGCTGTGCTTAGAATGATTAAGGTTGGTAAGATGGCTCAGTAGGCAAGGGCCCTTGCCACCAAGTCTGACAATCTGAGTTCAAGCTCTGGGACCAACTCCTGCAAGTGTCCTTTGACCTACACACACACACACACACACACACACACACACACACACACACTGCTTTGAATCTTTACTCTAGGGATTTGAAGTTGCTATCAGTCCTTTTAAGTGACAAGGAAGTTTGGGAGACAAAACAGAGTAACTGTTACTCCGTTTCACACTAGTTAAGAAGTCCACACTGGGAAGGTGAAAAGTAACGAAATCTCACCTTTCCGGGGAACACTTTCATAGTTTACTCATTAGTAAATAAATCAGGACATGTGAATCCTTAAATTTTTAAAACTCAGAATTTAGCAAAAACAAATGTATCATGTGCGTGTATGTTTGCACGTATGTGGGGGCACATGTGTGATTGGATCTGTGTGCACATACATAGGGAGGCCACTAGTTGACTTTAGGTGTTTTCCTCAGTTGCTCTCCATTTTACTCATAATTTCCAGTTTCAGCTACTCTAGGTAGCCTGCTGACCCCAAGAATCCCAACCCCACTTCCTGGACCCTGGGATTATATGCAGGGTGCCATGCCTGCCTGACTTTTATGTGGGTATTAAGGATGTGCACATTCACTGGGAGCATTTTATCCACTGAGTCATCTCTCAGCTCAGAATTTAACATAACTTTTTAGAATTTTTTTTAATTTTTGAGAATTTGATACGTGAATATTGTCTTTGTATTACTTCCATCCCTCCCAGTCCCCGACCAGTTCCTGCCATGCCTCCGCTCCCTCTCAATTTTCTCTTCTCCTTTGATTATTAAATTTACAAACATACATACATTTATAAATATACATATATATATAATGCACAGAGTCCATTTAATGATGCTCATGTGTACCTGTGTTTAGGACTGCCCATTTGGGATTAGATAACCTCTCAGGGAGCTAGTCCCTAGAGAAAACGGATTCTCTCTCCATTTAGCATCCATTGATTGCCTGTAGCTCTTTATCTAGAGGTGGGACCCCCATGAAATTTCCCCTTCGATCTTGGCATGTCAGTTGATTTTGTCATTATGCAGCTCTCATCAGACTATTATACCGTGGAGAGTTCACTGGTGTAGCATCCCTATCCTATCTAGAATGCATGAACTAGCAGCAGGTGTCTCGTCCTTCTGCTTCTTTTTCTTCCTTACATTCTTCCTGCCCCCTCTTCTGATGTTCCCTGAACCTTAAATATAGAGGTTAGATACAGGCAAAATTTTTTTTACTTAACCTGTATTTTTTTGGTATTTTTGAGACAAGGTCTCCCTGTAGCCCCAGCTGGCCTAGAACTCACTATGTAGATCAGGCTGGCCCTGAACTCACAGAGAATCGCTTGCCTCTGCCTCATGAGTGCAGGATTAAAGGCATGTGCATTAACTCCCAGCATTAACCTGTAATTTTTTATAATAGACACTCAGATATAGGATTTAAGATTTTTTAGTAGACAGGTTCCTATTAGTAATAGTGTATTTAAAGTTTAAGACCTGATCTGTCAAGGATTAGAAGAATGTAAGTTCTGGGAATTTCCAGGCCACAAGTCATTCCTTTTACAGTTTGAAATCCTCTCATTCCAAAAACTTAATGATACAACAGGCCTATCCAGCTCTTCAAGGAATATCAGGTTTTTTTCTAATGAATTTATTTGTTTATTTATTTATTTTATGTGTATGAGTGCCTTGCCTGAATGTACATGTACCACATGCATGCAGTGCTCATGGTAACACAACTTTTAATAAAATGCCAGCAGAGGGCACCAGATCTTGATCTGAACTCAGGTCCTCTGCCAGAACAGCAAGTATTCTTAACCACTGAACCATCTCTCCAGCCTTGGAATATCAGATTTTGTTATGTGCTGGTTTTAGAATTCACAATATTTTCACAGCAAGGCACCAAATGAAGTCTTGTATAGTCCAGCAATGGAGTATAAACCCTGTTAAGTCCCATCCTCCATGGTAGAAAGTAAATAACAGAATCAAGCATAACTTACACTCTCCTCTGGTGATTGCAAGCTGCTCTCTGAGACATCTTCATAGGAGGCCACCCCTGGATATGGAACACTGGGAGCAGCACCTAAACAGAAAACCAGAAAATGTATGAGATCAGTCCTTGAGTAAGTTGGAATTCATTTCAGGAATTAAAGAACTGACTTTGACTTTGAAAGCCATTCTTTCAATTCCTCCCACTTTAACCTCAAGACATATTTGCATAGAATCTATGCAACAAATAATTATGACTAGAACAACAAATAATTATGGCTTGCTGACAAGTGTTTTCTTGGGCATTCCAGGCACTAGGATCAATGCTGAGATATAAAAAGAAAGTTTCTATCCTTAAGGAGCTATATAGCAAAGGAACCAGACATTGAAACTTGTATACCAGACAAAGGAAGTAGGTGAAATTGTAGCTTGGCCATTATTTGAAACAGGGCAACATCATGCCATTCTATTTTTGTATATGTTTGAAGTGTCTAATACAAAGAAGTTTATAATTTTTATTTATTTTCATTTTATGTATATGAGTGTTATGCCTGTGTGTGTGTATGTGCACCCATGTTGTGCAGTGCCCGCTGAGGTCAGAAGGGGGTGTCAGATCCCCTGGAATTGTAGTTACAGTTATTAGCCACCATGTAGATGTTGGGATTCAAACCCAGGTCTTCTGCAAGAACAACCAGTGTTCTTAACCTCTGAGCCATCTCTCGAGCCCCAGAAGTTAGTATTTTTAAACATAAAATGTATTAATTATTTATTAAAAATAACATGGGCTTGAGGTGCAGCACAGTGGTAGAGCATCTCTCTAGCATGGAACATGCCATTGGATTCAATCCCTAGCAAAACAAAGAAATGGAGAAGAAGGGAAGGGAGAGAGACAGAAACAGAGGAACAAATTTACAAGAAATCCAGAGCTCAAAACATGGTCTATGCCCCAGGATGCCGTCAGAAAAACCCTTACCCTGGAAACTCCAGGACAAATGGCATATAATGTTAATATAAAGGTTTTACCCGCTGACATAACGGTTTGCCTTCAAGCAATTTATTAGGTCATTCTTTTTTTTTAAGATTCGGTCTGATTTATATGACTCTTAAAGTTTTTTTTTAAGTACCCACTACATAATATCATGAAACAAAAGAATATAATTACATTTCTTGAGTCTCTTAAGCAATATATAAGTATCAAAAACCTGATCTTTTAAATGTGAGCTGAAAAACTGCATTTGCTTGAAATTTTGTTTTAAACCTTAAATAACTTAGAAATAAAAGCAAGTAAAGACACAAAAGCATACCTTCCAATATCGAGGTATCACCAACAGGAGCTGGAGGTGACAGTTCAGGTCTAGGGAGAAATGTTTACAGCTAATAAAATTATAGAAACATGGTGAAATATTTCCCAAAGGAAATTCTTAGAGCACCAAATAATGGTTCCCAAACCAAGGTACCATGTAGCAAAGTTTAAACGATTGCAACTTCATAATTCATTTATTTCATATTATTGATGCCTAGCCAATATAGTCACCCTATCTAAAGTACCTTCCTGGTTACCTTCATCACCTATTTTCTTCCTTTTCAGTTCAAATCACTATGCAAAATTATTTTGTTTATTTATCTACTTTATCTCTGTTTCCAACCCCTTAATTCTCTGGAGTATGTCAGTAGAGAAGCCCTTAAACATGTACAGTGTTTTATGTTAAATAAAATTAAACATTAGAAATTCAGCTTCTTATTCAGAGCAGTCACATATCAGGTAATCAATGCCCACGTGTGGCTAATGACTATCACATCAGACAAGACAATAATGAAAATTTCCATCATCACACAAAATTCTGTTTATTGAACAAACTTGAATTAATAATCTGAACTCCAGACTGAGACTATATTCTGTAAAAGAGTATTTGCCTAGCATGTTCAAGGCCTTGAGTGTGATCCTAAGTACTACAATTAAAAGAAAAGAGAGAGAGAGAGAGAGAGAGAGGGAGAGAGAGAGAGACAGAGAGAGAAAGAAAGAAAGAAAGAGAGAGAGAGAGAGAAAGAAAGAGAAAGAAAGAAAGAAAAGAAAGAAAGAAAGAAAGAAAGAAAGAAAGAAAGAAAGAAAGAAAGAAAGAAAGAAAGAAAGAGAAAGA